GTACCCTACGTCTGTCATGGGGGAGTCCTATAAGATCATCTGTGATGGGCGAAGGGGTCCATAGTTAAATAAGACACTAAAGTGGGCTCCACAGTCACCTAGAACAACTGTATGTACCTTACATTTGCAAATATCACGGGTTCCCAACAATCCTTTGGGTCTGTGATTTGTTCTTTGCTTTGCTTTTTTTTTTGTTTTGTTTTGTTTTGTTTTGTTTTGTTTTGGTTTTTCGAGACAGGGTTTCTCTGTGTAGCTTTGCGCCTTTCCTGGAACTCACTTGGTAGCCCAGACTGGCCTCAAACTCACAGAGATCCGCCTGCCTCTGCCTTCCGAGTGCTGGGATTAAAGGTGTGCGCCACCACCGCCCGGCTGCTTTTGTTTTAAGACAGAGTGTCACTATGTAATCCTGCCTGGCCTGGAACTCACTATGTAGTCCAAGCTGACTTTGAATTCAGAGGTCCACCTGCTTTTGCTAGGATTAAAGGCCTGTACCACCACACACCAAGAGATGGGCCTTTGAGTAACATATTTTTTCTATGTGACTTCTGCCAAAGCAGAATTTAAACTTAAGACACAAAACAGGTAGACCTCTTGTTTTAAAAGGTACCTCGTCTTTACTTGTTTTGTGAGACAGGGTCTGTTATGCAGCACAGAGTAACCTTCAACTTGCTGTGTAAAAGGGATGACCTTGAACTCCCGATCTCCCTGTTTCTAACTCCCAAGTGCTGGGATGACAGATGTGTGCCACCAAACCTTGCTCTTCTTTATTTAGCTTTCTAAGTATTTCCCATATATGTTTTCTGTCATTATAAATCCTGGGGCAGCTGGGTGGTGGGCAGCACATGCCTTTAATCCCAGTACTCAGGAGGCAGAGACAGGGGATCTCTGTGAGTTTGAGGTCAGCCTGGTCTACAAAATGAGTTCTAGGACAGCCAGAGCTGTTACACAGAGAAACCCTGTCTCAAAAAAAAAAAAAAAACCAATAAATAAATAAATGAATTAAGTAATTAATTCTGGGGTATAGGGGCTGGAGAGATGACTCAGTGGTTAAGAATGATTGTTGCTCTTGCAGAGGACCAGAGTTCGTTCCTAGCATCCACACTGGGCAGCACACAACCACCTATAATACCACTTTTTTTAGGCTTTTTTTTTTGTGGGGGGGCCTCTATGACTACCCAAACCCATGTGCTCATACACACACACACACACACACACACACATTAAAAAAAAAACCTGCCCAGACATCTTGGAGCACACCTTTAATCCCAGCACTCAGGAAGCAGAGACAGGTGAACTTCTGAGTTTGAGGCCAGCCTGGTCCACACAGTGGGTTCACTCAAGCCAGGGCTGCACAGGAAGACCATTTCAAAAATGGAAAAAATCGGGAGCACACATGCAAAAACACTCCAGCTTTCTTTACAGAGCACTTGGTGCAACTGTTATATGTATAATTTAACTCTTAAAATATATTCTTGTTGGCTAGGCAGTGGTGGCGCACGCCTTTAATCCCAGCACTCAGGAGGCAGAGCCAAGTGGATCTCTGTGAGTTCAAGGCCAGCCTGGGCTACAGAGCGAGATCCAGGACAGGCACCAAAACTACACAGAGAAACCCTGTCTCGAAAAACTGATGGAATTTTGCTTGTTTGAGACAGGGCCTCACTATGTAGCCCAGTCTGGCCTTGACTCTAACAATCCTACTGCCTTGTCTTCCTGTGTGTTGGGATCAACAGACACACTCCACCACTACACCCAGCTTTTCAAACATTTTCTGATGCTATAATGATAGTAATGGAAACATCACCCAGAAGAGGATGATGAAGAGATACATGGAGCCAATCTTTCTATGACATTGTCTGCCTTTGGCAAAGGGACTCACTGACTGCTTATCCAGAACACATCATCACAGGCTGCATTTGCAGCCATAATTACTAAGACTTGATTCTAGCAGGGTCTGAAATCAGAGTCCTACATTTCTGCCCCTACCATCTAATCTGGGTGTGATCCCTCCTGTACCATTTGCGTCTATTGACTAATCTCTGTGAGACTTACTGGAAGCAGACTCTGTACTTAACTGCCGCTGTCCCTTATACAGAGACCCTTTGCTTGTTAAAAGCCTCATCTCTACAGTTGCTATGGAAACTGTTCCCTTCCTCTCCCCACAATCCATTCTGGCTCCCTGCTTCATGTGCTACTCTTTATGATTGTAGTAGAAAAGGACTGCACATTTTCCCATGCCCTTTTCCAGATTCAGATCTGCAACTGGCGGTGTGTGTGTGAAGGGGCACCCTACCACCTGATATCCTGACAGCACTGTTTTCCTGTCTGTGCTACAAAAAGGATTTTCCCAGCCATGTCTGAAATATTTACAGTATGGACTGGCTGGTTAGCTATAACATGTTTCATGATAGGGCCAGGATTTTCTGTGAGGTACTTAACAATCAGAGCGTGGCTCAGTGGCAGCCTTGTTGTATCAGGTATTATCACTCTTTCCTGTCTTTGAGGGGAGTGGGGTTTCATGTGTGTGCATGTGAGTGTGACAGGACAACTTGGGGTGTTGTTCCTCAGACACCCTCTACTTCTTTGTTTAACATAGCAGGGTCTCTCATTGGCCTGGAACTTCACCTGGGAGGCTAGGCTAGCTGTCCAGCAAGCTCCCAGGGACCCACCGGTCTCTCCCTCCCACCTCACCATCTCTGGGATTACAAGTGCACACCCCTGTGCCTGGCTCTTTAGGGTTCTGAGAATCTGAACTCAGGGCCTCGTGCTTGCAAGGGTAATACTTTACCAACTGAGCCATCTCCCCAGCCCCTCTTTTCTTCTACCATCTCCAAAGTGCAAGGTAAATGGGAGAAAAAGCAAGTACTGCCGGAGCCTAGAGACAGGTCTTCTGTCTGAGACATACAACAGAATTAATCAGGATAAGAGACGCTGTAGTGGTGGAGACACTTTGAGGAATCGGGGTGGTGGCAAGGGGAGGGGAGCGAGAGAGGGAGAGAGGGAGAGGGAAAGGGAGAGAGTATTTATTCAGTTCTGTACAGTAACTGCACCGCCTCCTAAGGTTATCCACTGTGTCACATCACTAGTAGTTGGGAAGTTCTTTCCTGGGTTTTACTCAAAACCTCCATGCTGCAGTCTGAGCTCATTGCACTCAGCAGAGATGGAGACTAGCCAACCACTATCCTTGGAATAACAACTCACTAGGGACTCAGGGCAGGAAGGTCATCCTGTCCCCTTCAATACTGCGCAACCCGCCTGACCACGCCCAGAGCTCGGGGCAAGGACAGGGAAACCCAGGTTGGCGACCTAGACCCTAGCAGGTAACAAAGGGGGAAACAAAACGGAAAAGAAAAAAAAAAATCCAGACAACGATGACACCCAGATACAGACCACTATAGAAACTCCGAGCCAGGGGCAAGATGGCTCCCCACGGTTCGGGCTAGGCTGCAGAACTGACACACAGTGCTCATCACAGACCCATTTTAACTAGATGCTGTTCCTGCGCGGAGGCCGTGGACTCCGCCCTCTGCTGGGTCCTGCAGAGCTCCTACCCTAGCCCAAGTCGGAGGGGAAAACTTGGATCTGGAAAACTGCAGGTGGATGACTGCAGCTGCCACTCCATCACAGAGCGGTGCGCAGAGCCACAGCTACTGCATCCCGGCCACGCCCATGCGGCGCTTTGGCTCCGCCCCCAGACAGGCAATGGCCAATGAGCTGCTCCTGCCGCCGGCCTTTAAGAACCGCGCGCACTCTCCCCGCAGCGGACGCAGCCGGCCTAGCACTCCGCGGGAGTTTCCATGGCGACCGAGGCCCGGACTGCGCGGCCTGGCAGCGTTGCCATGGAGACAACTCCGGAGCTGGGGCTCCGGAGCCCCGGCGCATCGCCGGCTCAGAACCCCGCGGAGCCTCTGCGCGAGGCCGGTGCCGCGGTGGCCGCAGCGCGCTGGGATCTGCGGAAATACTCCTTGCTCATCGTGATCGGCGATATCGGAACAGAAAGTCAGCTGAGGGCCGTGCGGGCCCACCTTGAACAAGGTGAGCCGCTGTCCTGGCTGTTCCGCAGCACTCCATCCGTGCCTTTCCGCCATCTGCATTCATCTCCCAGTGCACACTTCTGTAGCCTCCATTTCTATGTGCACTTCTCGAGACCTGTGCCCCTGTCACCTGCATGTCTTCCATGCATCTGTGTCCTCTCGAGCTGCCAACATCTCGCTTGCCCATTCTTCCCCAAAAACCCCGTGAAGAGCTCCGGGCAGACCCTGGAGTCCCTCTGGTCACACCCCTTTCCCGCAGTGTCTCGACCAGACGTCGGAAAGTCCTCGCCAGACCCTGAAAAGCCCATGTCCCTACCTTACAGTTTCTTCTTTAGGGGAGCTTTCTGAACGCAGGGTACACATCACAAACCTCTGAATGCTGGCAGCCAAGTTGAGAGAGTGACCTTCGTGGCTCCTCAGCTCACCTCCCTCAGCTGTGCCTGTGGCGCAGTGCTGCGGAGCCACCTGCGGGTGGAAGCGAGCCTCCTCGGAGGGGTGGAGGTAAGGGAGGGGGGGGGCACAGAAAGAGAATCTAGAATCTAATTTAGCTAGAGGAATCATTAAGAAAACCAACGGTATATGGGAATAGACCCTTGGGTGTCGCTTCTACCATAACTGGACAGCCTTGCAAAATAAAACAAAAACTGCAAGCTCATTTATTACCAAATTCAGTCTAAACTCTGCTCTTTGCCCTCTGGCTCCCACAAAGGGGAAAAAGCAGTTGCGAGATACCTAGAGGTGCTAGCTGCCCTCCTTAGAGGTGTTACCTTCCTCGCCGCTGCTCCTCCAGGAGCTTGACAGTGCTCTCTGCAGTCCCATCAGATGACTTTGCCTAGCACCCTCTCTTTTTTTCTTTCACAGGGATTCTCTCCTGGAACATTGACTTATCGTCCTTTGACTTGAACCAACAGTTGAGACTCTTCATTACCCGGCACCTAGCTCACTTCTCCTCAGAGGTCAAAGGTTAGGACTAGGGTCATTTGTCTCAGTCCTTTGGGTGTGGGCTGGAAGAGGAGAGGTCCAGTATCCAGGGCAGAACTGGCCTCGTGGGAGGTTTGAGCCGGGGAGAAGGGAGGGTTTTTTGTTTTTGTTTTTTTAACGGCTCCACAGCTACCCAGACATTCCCAGTACACTCTTCAAACACACGATATGATGTCAGAACATAATTTTTCCAAGAAGAGCGTTATTTGTACACAGCAGGTGAAAAGAGCTGCTAAGAAAGTGCTCAGATCACTTTCAGGCAAAACCCCAGGTTTTTCTTCTGTGTCCCCCTTTCTGCTTCCCCCAGCCTCCCTGTCCCCCCTTATACACACTCCAGAGTGCCTTGCTCAACATCCCAGACCCTTGTTTCTCACAGTCCACCCTTCAGGACGCATTTCTGTTTCCTCTTCACTTAGCCGGCAGCTCTGCAGAGCAGAGCAGAATGCTGCTCTCAAAGGCTGAGCAGATCAGCACCATCAGATCAAGGCCGGGACAAAGGTCTCTGGATTTCTTGAGGCTTGGTTCTGGGATCATTTCTACTGAGTCGGAGAAATAGTCTAGAAGTGTGAGATAAGATTTTAGGAATTACCATTCTATGACAGATGTCTACTGAGTACAGGATGTCTTACGTCCCTTGATAAAGGTGTTGGACAGCTGGTTGGATTATTGTAAATGTTGACACACCAATCCATGCAACTTTCTTTTTTTAAAAACAGGGTCTCACTATGTAGTCCAAGCTGACCTTGACTTGACATATAGTCTAGGATGGTATCAAACCTGTTATCCTCCTGTCTCTACATCCTGAGTGCTAGGACTGTAGGTATGCATCACCAGACCTGCTTCCATGGAGTTTTATAGAATGTGAATTCCATTAGGCTCATAGTCATTGGCATCAAATAACAGAATTCATATGTCAATAATTCTCAACAGCCTAGTACAGTAGAAAGTCACCTCTTTCTGCTCCTCCAGTCTGGCAGATCTTTGGTCATTTCCTCATTGATCATTTTTCATGAGCTGCTGAGAAGCTGGAGAAAACTAGGCTTACATGAGCAAAGCTCCATTATACTCAGAATATGTGCAGCAACTTGAAAGAAAAGTGTGAAGCTGGAATCTTCCTGATGGACTGGCTTCCTGTCAGACTAGCCACTTACTCTTTTGAGATTCCTTTCTGTTGAGAATTACCCATGTCATGACGTCCTCCACTATTCTCAGTGACCAAAGAGACTATACCACTCAAAGATCCTAGAAGCAAGACTGAATAAAGGAATTGCAGGGGATTAAACTCATTACTGACGTTTGGGTTTTTTTTTTTTTATTAGGAATTCACACCAAATGCTCTAGCCTTGTCCTTTTGGCCATAAAGACTTTAAGCAATGTAAGAAATGAATGGAACTTAAGACAAAATCCTTAGCTATTCTTCAGATTAAGATGAAGGGAATGCTTGGGAAGTGGTTTGCAGAGAGATGCATTCTCAGGCACTTCTTGGAAACAAGCGTCGGTATAGAAACACCTACTGAACGCTTCAGAATTTTGCTATGATGTCCTCAAGAGGCTTGGGGCCATCCACCCAAAAGGAAGGCTGACTTTTAGCATACATTTTGTTCATGGTGGCCTATGTCCCTGGAGAACAGTGGAGAATTTCCTGGAAAAAAAGAAAAAGAAAAAAATAATAACAACCCGCAGAGCTTCAGGCAGCCATGGCCCCACCCTGCTGGCTTCTCTGTCAGCTGTCCCTGCCCACCGTCTGCCCAGAGCAGCTGCGGACGCTGCCTCCTCCTTCAGCCTCTTGTGATTGCCCAGGCTAAAGTCACCAGGAGCTGGGGGGGGGGGGGGGCGGGGGGCGGGGCGGCTCAAGGAGATACACTAAATGCCCCTGGCTTGACCTTTTTGGCCTGCTCCTTAGGGGGACCACCATTTCTTCACACTCTAGGCCAAAATAATGAAGGAACAAAATATATCTTGAGTGACAGGAAGAGTGCCATTACCACTAGGGCTCACCCTCTCTACATTTACAGTCCCACCCCCACACACATACAGAAAAAAAGAGACCCCAGATAGTCAGTGGCCCAGCTCCTTCTAGTGGTCAAGTCTGGTAAAAAGCTTTAAAGGGTAGTTCTCATACCATGTGCTCTTCAGCAGAGATTTGGGGGCCTTCCTTTAGAGCTTCTACTCCTTCTCCTAAAAATCCCTGAAGCTTCTAAGCATTTTTAACACTTAACTTAGAAAAACCTAGGATAATCGAAAACTTAGCTTAAGGCCTGGGGTGCAGCTCAGCGGTAGAGTGCCCACCTAACATGCAGCTTATGCAACTCAGCAGTAGAGTGCCTACCTAATGTGCAGCTCATGCAACTCAGCAGTAAAGTGCCTACCTAATGTGCAGCTCATGCAACTCAGCAGTAGAGTGCCTACCTAACGTGCAGCTCATGCAACTCATCAGTAGAGTGCCTACCTAATGTGCAGCTCATGCAACTCAGCAGTAGAGTGCCCACCTAACATGCAGCTTGGCAGTAAAGTGCCCATCAAACGTGCAGCTCAGTGGCAGAGTGCCCACCTAACAGGCAGAAGGCCCCAGACCCACAGGGAATAGGGATAAGGAATGGTGGGCCGACACACTGACACATCTCTACTGAGTGTCAATATGTCTACTGTTGAACTCCTATAAGAAAGGGAGGGTTGGCTGGGTGGTGGTGGATCTCTGTGAGTTCAAGGCCAGCCTGGTCTACAGAGCAAGATCCAGGACAAGCACCAAAACTACACAGAGAAACCCTGTCTCAAAAAAAAACAAAAAAACAAAATAAATAAATAAAAATTAAAAAAGAAAGAAAGGGAGGATTGATATTCTAAGACTTGAAGAAGCACAGGCTAGCCTGGTGTGGTGGTACAGTCCTATAATCCCAACATTGGGGAGGTAGAGGCAAAGGATCATCCTTGACTACATAGCAAGTCCAGGACCAGTCTGGGCTACCTAAGACCCCAGATCTGGAGCTGGAAAGAGGTACAAGGGGTGGAGAGGGGAAGGCTGAGAACCCCTTGAGTCCTTCTGTCTGATTCTTTCCATTCATGTGCTCAGAGGATCCTGATTTAGAGGTTTACACTGTTATCTGAAGTGGGAAGGCAGAGAGAGAAGAGTAGAAGTCAAGCCTCGTTCTGTAAGCATCTCCAGTTTGGGGTTTGCCCGAGATTTATCCCAGTTTACTTGAGTTTACCCCAGTACTAGTCTGGTCTGGGATTCTGGTTTAGGGTACTCATTCTGAAATCTTCCACAAAGAAAGAAATATTCAGTCATGTTTGTGCATCGCAAGGTTAGGATTCTAGGGAGGAAGAGAACTCTTTCAGATGAAGTCAGTCCTCACAGCGTAGCCGAAGGATGGCGCTAATGTACCCATTCGCTAGTCCAGAAAGCAAACTCTGAGACTGACTTGTTTAGTGGTGTGGTTCAGAAAGTGGCATCAGGAGGCTGTTCAAGCCTCCCTGGCACCATTTCACTGCAGGAGAGTCGAATTAAGGGTCGAGGGGTCACTCATAAGCGGCTGCGTAGAGATGGGCAGAGAAGGAGAACGAACTGTGACCGTATACAAGGTGCGGGGGTGTGTGTGTGTGTGTGTGTGTGTGTGTGTGTGTGTGTGTGTGTGTGTGTGGCTTAGAGCAAGGGTGGATTCTGCTTTCAGTTGGGAAATTTGTTCTCAAGCCCGATGTCTACTAAAGTGCCCCCAACACTGAGAGAGCCCTCAAAAGCAGAGAGGAGACAGGAGGTTGGAGGCAGCATGAAATGAGAGCAATGGAGAGCAATGAGGTTGTGGAAGGGGGTGGGTACTACTCCGTGATGCTCAGGACTGAGCCTGGTTACACTGTGTGTGTCTATACAGATGGCCTCTCCTATCCAAATGGGGATAGGATATGGCCATGTTGCTGCTTTGCATCCCGGATCTGAGCAAGGGTTCTTCTCCTTCTGTTCCCCCTGTTCCCCAGAGTACTGGTGACTCAGCTACTCCTCTGGCTGTAGCTTAAGGGGGTTGGGGGTTGCTGAGAGCAGAGACTATTTTGGCTTCTCTGACCTTCAAAAGCAGTCCTTGGCAGCCTGGAGCAAGGGTGGGGCTGGGGCTGGCCAGTGAGAGGGAGGAAGGAGATGACCACACCCAGGGAGGGTTAATGAGGAGAGGCCAGGGATGTAAGAGTGTGAACATCACAGGGCAAAATGAGTGTTGGCTGCAGCTCTCCAGATCTTTCCTTTGAATCCTGGAGCACTTAGCTGAGTCTGAGGCAGAGGCTGAGATAAGGGCACAAGGTCAACATAAGAAGGTTCAAGATCAAGGCAGACAGACACAACAAAGCGACAAGGAGGAGTCCAGACCCAAACACCCTACAGATCATTTCTAACTGAAAGAGTAGGTTATATTAGACTGGTCTATAGCAAAAAAGCTTTGCCTGAGCCCGGGCTCCGGGCGATGATCCTAGGTCCTTCCCTGAAAGGCAGAAGCCTCCCTTACCCTTCAGAGACTGCCTCCTGACAGCCAGGACACAGAAGCCTCTGCTTGTGTGGGCGATCTCGCAGCCATGCTGCATTAGCACGGGCCTGCATGCAGCTCCCAGGGTCCCTGTGCCCCACCCCAGTGGATTGGGGACTATGTCTGCTCCAGAATTTCACACTATTCTCCAGTCTAAAATGAGACACATTTTTGTCCTCCCCAGTTTTCTATTGATGTGGTCAGGACAGGGTCCAGCTTACCACATCACTCACCATCGCCACACCGCTCCCCTCCATTCATAGCCCCCCAGCCTCTGTCTCCTGTTCTTGCAGTGACTGAAGGTCACTCTCTGGGTCCATCTGAGGGGAGAGGCAGCAGATGGTTTCTAAGAGGAAGGGGGAGGGCCCATGCTACCCTTGCCTCCTATAGCTGGCTCTGTGCCCCAGTGCATGAAGCTCTGGTCCTTTGGTTGATGCTGAGAGGGTATTTATTAACTAAACAGGATTTGGGGAGAAGGTACTCAGAGCTGCAGGAGAGATGGATCTGGCCCTTTGAACTGCTAGGCAACCCCTCAGATTCCTCCCCTTCCCTGTGGCCAAGCAGAAGCACCAGGATGCTGACACTGTGCAGGCCAAGAAACAGTTAAGTCTCCAGTACCTCGTCACAGACCAGCCCCTCTTCCCCGCCCTGGCACCGCCCTCCCCGGCAAGCAGCCCCCCCTCACTCCCACCCCTAGTGCCGCAGACTCTTCCCCGAAGCCACCCGGCTAAGGCCGGAGCCGAGCCGAGCCGATGCCTCCATGAGGGGCTCCCTCCTACGTCCCAGGGTAAGAGCCTAACAGGAAGGCAAGTCATGGCAGAGGGATGGGGGTGCTGTGCTAGGGACTGGGGATGGGGAGCCGCTGACACCTTGTAAATCTGGTGCATCTGGACCGAGGCTAGCCTGGTGGGAAGGCTTCCTGAGATGGAGAGAGGAGGCAAACATTACTGACTGGGGTTCAGCCTGTGGATCCAACAGGGGCTGTGACAGTCCACCTCTGTACGAGGTGGGGGTGGGGACCATCAGCTGAGAGGCAGTAACAGAGGGTGGTGCCACAGGCTTTGCCTGGCAGTCAGGGCATAGAAGGAATTTGGGGGCTATGTCTTTGAGGAGAAACAGAAGAATCTGAGAGGAAGGGGGCTGTTATGGAATGTATCTTCTGGGAGGGTCCTTGGGTTATCAGCTACTACACTGGTCAGCTGCTGCTCCTGTTCTGGGATGAGTAGGGCAAGTAGGATGAGTTTTTGCCAAGTAAGGGAAGGTGGGTAACACTCTGGAAGAGAAGGGAGGAATGGGTCACTAAGACGTGGCATGTGCCTGCTCACAGGCTAACTGGTTTGTTTTTGGCTCCCCTCACCCTATTCCCTGTGGCCAGTTTGAGCTTAGGGCTTTAAGCCCCCCTTTGTGGCCTCTCTGAGGCCGCTCAGGAGCTCGAGAGCACTGGTTCTTCTGCAGCTGCCCTGCATTCCGGGTCCTGTCAACCTCAGGGGTTCCCCGACTCGGCCCCACCCTCACCTCATCTGTGCTTTTCCTCCCAAGATGGGGGCTCTTCAATAGAGAAGCCAGTTTCTTCTCCCTCTCTGTTTGCACCCCCATCCCCACCCCACCCCCCCATGCAGAGGCAGCCAAGAAAATGACTTGTCATGCTGGGGTGGGGGGTGGGGGCGGAGCTGGAGGCTGAGCTCAGCGCGCACACTCACACACACTCACACACTGCGGCAAACTGCAGCTGCCTGAGCAACCCCCTTCTGCCTCACTGCGGAGACACCTGCCCTCCTGCCCACTCAGCTTCACAGCCGAAGCCCACCCCCGACCCTAGCACTGGTCTCGGGAAGTGCCCCAGCCTCTTAAGATAAAGGAAAAACAAGGCAGTTCCCTTCATCGGAAGAGCTGGGGAGCAGAAAAGAGAAACAAGGCTGTCCCCTCGGCCTGAGCAGGGATTCGGGACGTAATGGACTTGCTCCCAGGGCTAGGGCTGGGGTCTTGTGTCAGGACAGGAAGTGGGATCAGAGGTCTTGTGAGGATACACTGGGGACCATGAAGTGCTGGAGTGGAGATTGTCGCTGGAGAGGAAATCTCTTTCTGTTCCACCTAAATTGAAAGTGTGACCTTGTTTGTGTTGGGGGAGTCCTGGCTTTCCTAAATCTGAACTACTTAAGACTGGCAAATGATGTTGACATCCCTAGCCACTTAAGTCCTGCCCCTGCCTGCCTCTGAGGTGGTGCTCATCCTCGGAAGTGACCTTAATGTATCCCTCGATTCCCAAGTTCATAGAAGAGGACCCTTGGACTCCTCTTGGGCCCAACACGCCTGGTATAGGCTTTGAGTCTCCAGCACCCTCGGTTTTCCCAGCTGCATTTGCAGCCCTCTGCTGCCTAGGTCTGCCTGGCCCTCAGCACCGGACTCTTCCTAACAAAAGCCCTGGCCATAGACACCCTTGTCCCAGGCTCGACAGAAAAGGGAGTTGGAGTCACAGAGGAGGGCTCAGGGAACAGACTATGACCCCCTCCCCAGTATCCTCCTGCTGTTTGATGCTCAGCCTCTAAGGTTAACCCTATGGTGGCTGCAAGCAGGATGAAGTGGAGGAGGGCCAGCCGGTGAGCCTAGGAGGTTGCATCCTTCTGTAATCTGTCTCACCCAGTACTTTCTTTAATTTCACTGCTTGGTGTTTTGTGTGACACTGGAGGAACAGTACTGGGGAGAGGATCGGGGACGCCATCGTTCCCCATCCTGGGCATTGACTCTCAACTTCTTTGGTGGTGGTGGTGGTGGTGGTGGTGTTTTTTGTTTGGTTTGGTGTTTTTTGTTTTTGGTTTTGGTTTTTCGAGACAGGGTTTCTCTGTGTAGTTTTGCGCCTTTCCTGGATCTCGCTCTGTAGCCCAGGCTGGCCTCGAACTCACAGAGATCCGCCTGGCTCTGTCTCCCAAGTGCTGGGATTAAAGGTGTGCGCCACCACCGCCCGGTTGGTTTGGTGTTTTGGAACAGAATTCTCTATGTAGCTCTGGATGTCCTGGAACTTAGCTGGCCTTGAATTCACAGAAATCCACCCACCTTTGCCTTCTGATTAAAGGTGTACACCACCATACCCAGCTTGCTGTTGTTTTTCTTTTGGGTGTGTGTGTGTGCGTGCATGCATGTATAGGTAGATCAAAGGACAGCTTGCAGGAGGTGGCTCTCTCCCCACCTCAGTCCTGGGGATCAAACTCAGGTGTCAGGCTTGGCAGAAAGCACCACTGGCCCTGTTTCTTGGCTTTGAATGAACTCAGTCACTTACTTCCAATATCCACAGGCTGAGACAAGAAGTGTTCAGGAGGGACAAGTGGGGCAGTGTGCTAGGCGACTCTGAAGCCTGGGCACGTGAAGGTGAGACAGGAGAGGGAGTGTGAAACACTTGCGGAGGGTGTGCATGGGTCTGACTGAAGGTCTGGCAGAGTCAGAAAACAGAATTGCAGGTTGGAACTCTCTATCCTTGAATTATAAAGCTCCAAGAACCAAGCTGACACATGTCTCCCAAATCTTCTGGAACAGGACTTCTGTCCTTGGATGGGGCAGTGGGTGTGGAAAGGATGGGGAAATCTGTAGAGACGGAAGCTACTGTCTCCTCTACTGGCCAAGGGCAAAGGCAGAGAAAGCTCAATAAAGACTGTCATCCCAGGAGCCCTCCCTCCAGCTGAGCTCCGCCCCCCCATCCCCCCTCCATTCCCCAGGCAGCACCAGGAACTTAGTGCTCCTGAGGGACAAAAGCTTCTTGTCAACAGGGTAGTCTGGGGCAAAGGGGCGGGGCCTGGGCAGCAGAGGGTGTGGCAGATGGAGGAAAGGGAGAAGTCAGTTAGTGTGGGGGAGGGGAGGAAGAAATCCTGAAAGGAGGGGCGAGAGGAGGCAGTTCCTGGACCTTACTTAGTGGTATCCTAGATGGCTGGGTTTAAGGATAACCAGGACTCAGTTTCCCCTGTACTCCGTTTTCTGATCATTTGTTTTTTCCTCTCCTGCCCCTTACAGTACTTCTCATTTTAAGTTAATGCCTACTAATCTCAATACAAATGCCTACGTCTCTCCCTCAGGCCAGAGGACCCTCTGCCACCAGAGTGAGATCCTAGAGACCATCATCCTGGTCAACCCCAGTGCAGACAGCATCAGCTCAGAGGTAAGGTCAGGGCTGATGCCTTGTTACCTTTGCGAGGTCACTACAATCTCGTCTGCTATCCCAGCTGACATAATCCTCAGCCCCACTCCGGGGCATCCCAGTAAGAAACATGTCCATATATTACTGAAGTGGGGACCGGGGTTTTCAGTGCCTTCCCCTGGGTCTCCCAAATCTGTGACCAATCTGTCCTCCCATTTCAGGTTCACCATCTTCTTAGTAATCCATCAGCTCACAAACTCCTAATCTTGAGTGGGCAAACTCTAGAGCCTGAGGGAGACCTTATCCTACAGAGTGGTACCTACTCCTACCAAAACTTTGCCCGGGTCCTTCACAGTCCTGAGGTAAGCTCCCTACTGAGCATCTGAGAAGGGAACAAGGGGCAGGATTTAAATTGTGGTGAGAAAGACAAGGAAGTCTTGTATGATTTGACCATCAGGAACCCTGACAGGGATTCCTGTCAGGGAGGTAGGCATTTACCTCAGAAACAGGCAAAGATTAGGGGGCTGAATCTGAGTCAGACCACCCCAATGACCTGATCGGCTTCTGTCTCCACTCCTCTAGATTGCCCAATTGCTCAGCAATAGAGACCCTGGGATCCAGGCTTTCCTCACTGTTTCCTGCTTAGGGGAGGGTGATTGGAGCCACCTGGGTCTGTCCAGTTCCCAAGAGACCTTGCACCTCCAGCTAAATCCTGAGCCTGTGTTACCCACCATGGATGGTGTGGCTGAGTTCTCCGAGTATGTCTCTGAGACTGTGGATGTGCCATCCCCCTTTGACCTGCTTGAACCCCCCACCTCAGGAGGCTTCCTCAAGCTCTCCAAGCCTTGCTGTTACATCTTTCCTGGTGGCCGTGGGGACTCTGCCCTCTTTGCTGTCAATGGTTTTAACATCCTGGTGGATGGTGGTTCTGATCGCAAGTCCTGCTTCTGGAAGCTGGTGCGGCATCTGGACCGCATCGACTCCGTGCTGCTCACACACATTGGGGCTGACAATCTGCCAGGCATCAACGGACTCCTGCAGCGCAAAGTGGCAGAGCTGGAGGAGGAGCAGTCCCAGGGCTCCAGCAGCTATAGCGACTGGGTGAAGAACCTCATCTCGCCTGAGCTTGGAGTGGTGTTCTTCAATGTGCCCGATAAGCTTCGGCTGCCGGATGCCTCCCGGAAGGCCAAGCGCAGCATTGAGGAGGCCTGTCTCACTCTCCAGCACCTAAACCGCCTAGGCATCCAAGCTGAGCCTCTGTACCGTGTAGTCAGCAACACCATTGAGCCGCTGACCCTCTTCCACAAAATGGGTGTGGGTCGGCTGGACATGTATGTCCTCAACCCTGTCAAGGACAGTAAGGAGATGCAGTTCCTCATGCAGAAGTGGGCGGGTAATAGTAAAGCCAAGACAGGTATTGTGCTGGCCAATGGGAAGGAGGCAGAGATCTCTGTCCCCTACCTGACCTCCATCACCGCTCTGGTGGTCTGGCTCCCAGCCAACCCTACTGAGAAGATCGTGCGTGTGCTTTTCCCAGGAAATGCTCCCCAGAACAAGATCTTGGAGGGCTTGGAAAAGCTTCGGCACCTGGACTTCCTGCGCTATCCCGTGGCCACACAGAAGGACCTGGCTGCTGGGGCTGTGCCTGCCAACTTGAAACCCAGCAAAATCAAACATCGGGCTGACAGCAAGGAGAGCCTCAAAGCTGCTCCCAAGACAGCAGTGAGCAAGCTGGCCAAACGCGAGGAAGTGTTAGAAGAGGGAGCCAAGGAGGCCCGCTCAGAGCTGGCCAAGGAGTTAGCCAAGACAGAAAAGAAAGCAAAAGACGCGTCGGAGAAGCCCCCAGAAAAGCCCTCCAAGCCCGAGAGGGTGAGGACAGAGTCCAGCGAAGCACTGAAGGCCGAGAAGCGGAAGTTGATCAAAGACAAAGTGGGGAAGAAGCACCTGAGAGAGAAGATATCAAAGCTGGAGGAGAAAAAGGACAAGGAGAAGAAGGAGATCAAGAAGGAAAGGAAGGAACTCAAGAAGGAGGAAGGGAGGAAGGAAGAGAAAAAGGACGCCAAGAAGGACGAGAAGAGGAAAGACACCAAACCGGAAGTAAAGAAATTCTCCAAACCAGACCTGAAGCCTTTCACCCCCGAGGTCCGCAAGACCCTCTATAAAGCCAAGGCCCCTGGAAGAGTCAAGACGGACAAAGGCCGAGCTGCCCGCGGGGAGAAAGAGCTGCCTTCTGAGCCCCGGACACCCCCAGCCCAGAGGGGGCCTGCAGCACTCCCAACTGTCAGTGGGCACAGAGAGCTGGCCTTGTCCTCACCAGAGGACCTCACACAGGACTTTGAGGAGCTGAAGTGTGAGGAGAGAGGTTTGCTGGCTGAACAAAGGGACGCAGGACTAGGCGAGAAACCACTTCCTGTGGATGCTACAGAGCAGGGACACCCAAGCCCAGCCATCCAGGAAAGACATCCCTCTGTCCCAGGGCGGGATCAAGAAGAACACGTGATAAAGGAGAAGGAGGTTGTCCCAGACTTTCTTGAGGACAAAGGGACCAAGAACAGGGGCCCAGACTCAGCGGCTGAGACAGAGAAAGAAACCTGGGAGGAAAAGCAGCAGAGGGAATCTGAGAAGGTCCCGGAGAGCGCTGAGGCCAGGGAGGAAAGTGAACCTGAGGTGAAGGAGGATGTGATAGAAAAGGCTGAGTTAGAAGAAATGGAGGAGGGTCACCCTTCAGATGAGGATGAGGAAGAGACGAAAGCTGAGAGTTTTTATCAAAAACACATGCAGGAAGCTTTAAAGGTAATCCCAAAGAGCAGAGAGGCTCTTGGGGGCCGGGAACTGGGATTTCAGGGCAAGGCACCTGAGAAGGAGACCTCATCATTCCTAAGCAGCTTGGCCACGCCTGCAGGAACCACTGAGCACGTCTCTTACATTCAGGACGAGACAATCCCTGGCTACTCAGAGACAGAACAGACCATCTCAGATGAGGAGATCCATGATGAGCCAGAGGAACGCGCAGCCCAACCCAGATTTCCTACAAGTACCTATGACCTCTCTGGGCCTGAAGGTCCTGGCCCCTTTGAAGCCAGCCAGCCCGCAGATAGCCTTGTTCCTGCCACCCCGAGCAAAACTTATGGGGCACCTGAACCTGAGCTCACCTACCCTCCCAATATGGTGGCTGCCCCTTTGGCTGAAGAGGAACATGTATCTTCAGCTACATCAATCACCGAGTGTGACAAACTCTCTTCCTTTGCCACGTCGGTGGCTGAGGACCAATCTGTGGCTTCACTCACAGCCCCCCAGACAGAGGAGACAGGCAAGAGCTCTCTGTTGCTCGACACAGTCACAAGTATCCCCTCCTCCCGCACTGAAGCCACTCAGGGCTTGGACTACGTGCCATCAGCTGGTACCATCTCACCCACCTCTTCACTAGAAGAAGATAAGGGCTTCAAGTCCCCACCCTGTGAGGATTTCTCGGTGACTGGGGAGTCGGAGAAGAAAGGGGAGGCTGTGGGGAGAGGCCTGCCTGGAGAGAAAGCTGTGGAAAAGAAAGAGAAGTCAAGTGTAACAACATCTGAGAAACTTCCCAGTCAGTATGCTGCCGTGTTTGGAGCCTCTGGACATGCCCTCCATCCAGGGGAACCAGCCCTCGGAGAAGCGGAGGAAAGGTGCCTCAGCCCGGACGACAGCACAGTGAAGATGGCATCTCCTCCGCCATCTGGACCCCCCAGCGCTACCCACACACCCTTTCATCAGTCCCCGGTGGAAGAGAAGTCTGAGCCTCAAGACTTTCAAGAAGACTCCTGGGGAGACACAAAGCATACTCCAGGTGTGGGCAAGGAGGATGCTGAGGAGCGGACGGTCAAGCCAGGGCCTGAAGAGGGCGTACTAGAAGAGGGGAGAGTATCTCTTCCCAGGAGCCCCCAAGCCCAGGATGCCCCTGTCGGCCTTGCCGGGGGTCAGACTGGCTGTACCATTCAACTGTTGCCAGAGCAAGACAAAGCGATAGTGTTTGAGACTAGAGAGGCAGGTTCAGCACCAGGAGCAGAAGCCCTTCCTAGAGAGGTGAGCGCACTGCTTGAAGAACACCGTGGGCCCCAGGGAGATGAGGCACTTCGGTCTACCGATCAAAGCCTTTCCCCTGAAGATGCAGAGTCCCTGTCTGTCCTCAGTGTGGTCTCCCCAGACACTGCCAAACAAGAGGCCACCCCCAGGTCTCCCTGCAGCCTGAAAGAGCAGCATCTGCACAAAGACCTTTGGCCAATGGTATCTCCAGAGGACACCCAGTCACTGTCCTTCTCAGAAGAGAGTCCTAGCAAGGAGACTTCTCTGGATATCTCGTCTAAGCAGCTCTCTCCAGAAAGCCTGGGCACCCTCCAGTTCGGAGAACTAAGCCTAGGAAAGGAAGAAAGGGGGCCTCTGGTGAAGGCTGAAGACACCTCTTGCCACCCAGCTCCTGTGTCAATTCCAGAGTCCCACATAGCCACAGTGTCTCCTCTCACAGATGAGACTGCTGGAGAGGCAGATGTCACAGATGAGAGCCCTGCTGGGAAATTACCTGGAAGTCCTTTCTCTCACTCTGCATCGTCAGGCGACAGGAAACACTCACCCGGGGAGGTCATGGGCCCTGGTGAACATCCTACAGATGCCCTTAGGACATCTGACAGCTCCCTCACCAAGAGTCCTGAGTCTTTGTCAAGCCCCGCCATGGAGGACCTTGCCATGGAGTGGGAAGGTAAAGCTCCAGGGTTGAAAGACAGAACTGCTGAGCAGAAGGAAGAGGAACTCAAGCTAAAGAGTGAAATCCTACCGCAGAAGGACAGAGTTCTGCAGGAGAAGGATGCCGTTGTTGAGCAGGACTTGGTCATGCCTCTGACAGACAAGGCTCTGGATGAGAAGACGAGCCTGGGGGACAGCTGGGTAAGACTTCAGAACAGA